TGTACTCCCTGGTCCGTTTGGACCAGCGCTTTATGTTACTACTTTGTCGGTGCGATTTTTGTATCTTAAAACATTTTTGCTCCGGAGACCTTGTTGGCGTCTACACTTTTTGGGATTCCAAACTTGATTCGGCTTGTCCGAAACGTGGCAGGGGCTCTGCATACTGCAACTCACCCATCTGCTGCAGGAGCAGCAGCGACCTCTTCAAGACCAGGAGCTTTGGGAGGAGGATGCCCATGTAGGCGTTGTCCTCCCACCGTAGGCTGTTCAGGGTGTCCGCCACAGGATTCGTGACAACCCTGTACTCTGTCAGGACCTGCGAATTTCAAAAGCAAACTCGACGCACGAGCGACTAATCCTCACAGCGGCCAAAATTGACTGTTTTGACGGGAACTTGTTCGCTTTGTGACCTTTGCCCATCGTCCATGAATTCAATCAATACGATTTTTTTTTTTTTCATAACGTGATGCGTTGATTCACAAACGCCGCTCCTACCTCGCCCATGGGCTGGTGAATAATGATGTTGTTGATTGCCCCCATGTGCTCAGGCACAGACATCACCTCCAGCAGCGCATTCACACTGTTGAAGTAGGAGCTCGAACTGCAGAGATAACGCACATCAAAAAAAAAATAAATACAGAAATTAAAATTCAAAACCTTAAGATAATAAACATCATTCATAGCTTGGGTAATACCTGAACTAACGACAGCAGGAGTCAGCAGCTTCCGCTTGATGGCCGCCTTGATCTGATTGGCAGCAATAGGGCTCCGGTTCTGGAGGTTCCAGAGGTACTGGGCATTGGCGAATGCCTTGCGCCAGGGAGTGTTCCCGCGGCTGCAGCCCATGACTTCGCTGAGGTCAGCCGTCGCCATGAGATTCATGGAATGCACGCTGGAATAAAATAAACATTATAACATCAATTTGCTAGTATAGACAACGTTTGCCATCTTCATTTGAGTGTTCTTGATGAAGTAGCAACTCGCTTTAAAATGTAAATCCTCAAATTCTACTATTTCTTACCAGCAGCGGCGGCAAGGTGGCAGAGTGATACGGAGATTGGTGTCAATGTCCTCGGCGGCAAGCTGCCCTTGGACATCGCAAAGCTCCTGAGCCACCACCCCCTCCTGCTTGCCGAATGCATCGAAAGCCGCGACATGGTTTGCGCCATTGTCTGTGGTGGTAGCGACCACTTTACTGGCAATGCCAAACTCCTGGTGGATAGCGTGGATGACTTCTCCCAGGGGCTTTTTTGCCTGGCTGACCTGGGAAAAACACGAGGGGCTAAGTGATACCATTCAAATCAATATAACAATATTTGTTTTAATTTCTCTCCCTTCAGCTCCCTGCACGCCAGGGTTGCCGCACACCGACCAGCTGTCAGCAGTGGTTCCCACCCACGCCTGCTTCTGCAGCAGGATGTCGAGTTGCAGCTTGGCCTGTTTCATCAGCTCACCTCGTTGCCTCCCGAGGGTCCTCCTGGACATGAGGTGCAACTGAGGACAGAGGTAGACAAACATCTCCCTTGTGTCGGGGTGTTCACAAAGTCTGAGGGGGGAAAGTGTCTCCACAAACCACCTGGGAATTGGAATTTGAAAACAATTTCATAAATCTGCTATT